AAACTAAAAGAGCTAAGATAATAGAAAAAAAGTAAAATATCCATTTCAAAACAACAAAATATGAAGTTGAATAGAGAAAATTGTTGCTCAAATCAATCATACAAACAGTAATTTCTATGTGGGAAAAAAAAAAGTAAATTCTTTTGGAATATATGTGACTAGAGAACTCTCCAAACAGTTCAATCTTCTAGTATGTCTTTATATCAAATTAAGATTTATGAATAATGGTAACACCATCTGCATTGTTAGATAAAATTCCAAAGGTAAAACACAAGAAAAATATTAAAGAAATGGATAAATGTATATCAGATACAAACACTCTATTTGTTCTGGGTACATTTCCGATATATCTATTTAATTGCAATAATTGAAACAAAATCCTACCTGAAACAATTTTTCCTTTTGGCCCATGCCATTGGAACGATGGGTCTATCAGTTCGGCATTTCGCAGTCGTTGAGTTACACATAACACATGTGGGCTCCTTTGATGGTGCATGACATATACTTTCACTGAAAATATGATATTAAAATGTTTCAGTTATATTTTACGTTGCTTCTTTCTTCATAATGACTTACATTTTTGTAGTTTGGGTTAGGTGATTTCACAGGATTTCTCTGGATTATTGCTCTTATTACTTGCTGACAAGAACTAAATTTCATTGCATTCTATGTAACTAATATTAAAAAATGCATGATGTTTAAGAGTCATTCTGTTTGTAAAATCTATTGCTAAATCTTTCTGTACTCCTTCTTCATTGGATCACATTATCAAATCTTTTCATTTTAGCCACCTGGAAGAATTTCCCACTGTAGAATTTTTCATTCAGTATCCATGGAAAGTGCCACATCTGTCTGGCTTTATATTTGCTATTCAACGAGGGTGTCAAAAGCAATCTGAGGGCAGTGAGCAATGAAGTCCACTGTGTGTAGTTATGAGTTCTTCATTTTCCATCCTGCCAAGTCTTTGCTTAGTTGTTTTTGCATTCTCTTATTGTTCTCCTGGTATTTCCAGTTTATTTCAGTTTATCCCTCTGTGAATGTTTTTAAAAGAATTAGACATTAAATTAAATGTTTTATATTTCAAAAAAAATGCATGATGCATTTTATTTGTGTGTACATACGTGTGCACATGTGAGTATGTTCATGCATGTGTGTGTATCATCAACCTGAGCATAATGTATTCATATCTCATGTACAATAAAAGAAAATATTATTCTTAGAATATTATTTCGATTACAAAGTATTAAGATAATTCTATATCTATACCTTATCTGTTTTGCAAAGACACCAAACATGAACAGAGTTTATCAATAAATTGTTTAGATTAGAGGACTACATTCCTTTGATTTTAAATATTAAGCATTTTGTCACATTTTGCTTTAAAATGTAAAGAATCCTGATAATAAGCAGAAAATAGCATTCTTTAGGAAATACAAAAGGAACCCAGTAAAGATTCAATTGTTTAGAGTTTACTTAAGTAAACTTTTAGAAAAGGTTCTAACAACCCTTCAAGAACTGCATGCCAACTCTTCCTTATTCACTATATGCAAAGATTTTTCTGATCCAGTAAAACAAAAATTGTTTAAGAATCAAAATTCTCCTTAGCTTTAAAGAGATTACCTCTAAAGTTTCACTACAAAGCATGATGTTTACTGAATGTACTATTAAGCACATATCCTTCCACAGATTAAGAAAGATCCCCTATATTCTTGGTTATTTGTTCTGATCATAAATTGGTATTGAATTTTAAGAAATGTTTTCTCTATGTTGACTGAGGAGATAATTTGTTTCTTTCTTCTCGAATATTTTAATGAAATGCTTGAATTATTATAAGAGACTGCCTTTCTGGAATAAATCTAATTGGTCATGTTTTTAACTTGAACATTGTTAAATTTAATTTGCAAACATTTTCTAATGATTGTTGCAAATATGTTCATATGTAACTATGCATAATTTTCTTATACTATCATTTGTCCTTCTCCCATTTCAATATCAAGCATTTATCATTATAAACATCTATTTAGTATTCATTATTACTTAGCATTTATTATTATTAAGGTAGACATCTAAGGTTGTAGTGAACACATGAAATGAACCAGGTAGATTTTCTTCTACAGATTTTTTCTGCAAGAATATGAAGGGGTTTTTTTCTTGGAAAACTGTATGGCTTGGTACCTTTTTTTTTTTCTTGGCAAGAAGGGGAATAGGAAAACAAATTTTTGACCACTGATAAAGTGAACTTAATTGGTTACTAGTCTACTAAGTAATTTCATCAAGTCTATTTTAGAAATTTATATTTTACTAGAGACTTATTCATTTCAGGTTTTTTAGTGTAAAATTGTTCAGAATAAAGTTATGATTTTTTAAATTTCACCATATTATGGGGGTACAGATGTTTAGGCTACGTATGTTGCCCTTGCCCCCCCCCAAGTCCGAGTTTCAAGTGTGTCCAGATGGTGCGCATCGCACTCTTTGTGTATGCATAAAAATTGGAACTACCCTAACCATACGAAAAAGGCATATGACTCAATGACAGGAAAATAAACTTTAATATAGATTGTATTTCCTAGAAAATGTTTGAAAACATTAAATTTGTCTTCTTTTTTCTAACTTCTTTAATAAATGCTCCCCCCATAAATTTTTAGTCCTCATTATGATTTCCTGACTCTAACTCTTTTCACAACCTCTGCCCTAACCATGCTAAAGTAGCACATGGCATCACTTTTTGTGACTTTACTCATTTAAGTACCTAAATGCCTTTTCATCTTTGGGAACTCAGCACAAGTATAACCTTTTGTGCTGGCTTGATAGTATCTCATGCCATTACCGTGCCCGTCCTCTAGCCCCCAATAAACCCTGTACACATTTCAATCACAGTAAATAGTAATGAATCCAAAATAATTTCCCAATGCAAGATGAACATACAAAAACAAACAATATTCCTCTACATTAACAATAATGCACTGAACCTGGTTATAGCAAAGAAGATAACATTTGAAGAACAATAAACAGAAGTTACTCTATAATCCAAGATCTCTGTGGGGAACATTTTTAGACTCTATCAGAAGATCAAAACTAGACTACAATGCCATAATCATAAAAGTATACACTTATAACTTTAAAGATGTCAATTTATCCCCACATTTATGTATAGAATCAATAGAATTGTAAGCAAAATCCCAGAAGAATTTTTTAAAGAAACTGTTGAATAATGATTCTAAAATATATCTGAAAGATTAAAGCTTCATAAAGAGCTAAAACAATTCTATCATAGAAAAGCAAAGAAGAGAGACTAGAGAAAGAGTTATTGAGATATATTAAAACTTACATTAAATAAAAAAGAGTAGTCTATTGTCAGAATAAAAAAATAGTAGGTCTCAAAAAAAAACGGATAGGTATAAATAACTGATATATGACAGAATTGGCACCTAAAGTCACTGAGGAAAACACAGGTTATTAAAAAATTATGGTTAAAAATTGTCTCAATATATATGCAAAGGTGAACTTAGATTCACACCTGGTATCATAAACAAAAATAAATACCAGGTAGAGCAAAAATCTCATGGCAAATCACTGTCTAAAAACACATAAAATAATACTTTTATGTCTTGGGTTATAGAAAAATCATGTTAATACCAAAAGCACAAAAATAAAAATACTGAATTCGATTCCTTAAATATTAATAATTTCTGTTCAATCCTATATAACATAGACAAAATTCAGAGATCGACTCCACAGAGAAGGTATTTGCAACAAAGATAATAAATAATGTATTTATAACTGGATTATAAACAATATGAAAGTAACTCCTTTGAAAACAGCAAGGCAAATAATAGGCAGAGGCAACTTAACCCTCAGCTTAGCAAAAACAGAAAAGTTAGGTAAAATTTCATGCTGATGAGGATGTGGGAAAATGGAACTCCTCAAGCACTGTTGGAGGAAGTCGTGTAGCCATTTTGAAGAGCAATTTCAGTGAGATTAAGAATGCTCAGGTTCTATGATGCTGAACTTCTACTTCAGCATATAGTAAGACTCAGAAAACTTTTGAGAAGGTACAAAAAAAGATATACAAAATGGTATTCATAATACACAACAAAAAACTGGATAAACTAAAAGTGCAACAAAAACGTAAATAAACACCCACTGAATTAATTAATGCATGAGAGAATAAAAACAGAAATCCACGTGAAATGAGAAGAATAAGCAAAAGGTGAATGAGTTAAAGAGAGGATGACAGAATAGAAAAATAGCCAACTAGACAGATGCTAATGCCTTACATGACACCAGAAACTCAAGAAATTCCAGGCACAAAAAAATCAGGCAGCCAGCATGTTATGTAGCCACAACCAACAAAGTATCATATAATGATCAACTTTGTAACATAAGAACTATAGCTGAATTGAAATGGTAATCCATTTTTAAGAATAAATTTAATATTACCCAATAACAAAACAAATAAAAGGAAAATTAGTTACAGATAACTATTTTATAATTCAGGTTTAAAAGTTGAACTTGGTGAAATCAACAAAAATATCAGAGTAAGGAACTCCAAAAATTATCTCCTTCATAAACTAATGAGAAAAAAGCAGAAATTGTTAGAATAAACACTTCTGACTCTAAAAATTAATCAAAGACTTGCAGTAATCCAGGAAACATTTATTCAAGAAAAACAACTGAATCTCTGTTATGGGTTGATTATACCCTCCCCCACAAAAAAATTTATATGTTGACGTCTTAATCCCCAGTACCTCAGAATATGAACTTATTTGGAGATAGTCTTAACAGAGCAAATCAAGTTAAAATGAAGTCATTAGGATCAGTCCAAATTCAATATGACTGATATCCTTATAAAGGGGGAGAATTTGTACACACAGACAAATATGAGGGGAAGAGGATTGGGAGAATCATAGAAGATGGCCATCTATAAGCCAAAGAAAAAGACCTGGAACAGATTCTTCCCTCACAACATTCAAAAGGAACCAACCCAGCCTACATCTTGATTTTCGACTTCTAGCTTCCAAAACTATAAGACAATCCATTTCTGTTGTTTAAGCCTGTCGGTGGTTCTTTGCTACGGCATCCCCAACAAACTAATACCTTCCATAATAACAATGAGCTTGTAGCATTTTAACTTGCCCTATTCCCATCTCTCCTTCCCCAGCTCTGCAAAAGCCTTGAAAACTAACAATCTGTAATCATAGTAAGAACCAGAAGCCAGGCAGCCATTAGAGGCGGCAGGCAGGGTTAGAGTGCTTTGAAAGCGTCCTTCCCAGAGAACTGCCATTATCTGGCCTGTCTGGCAGTGTCCTTGATCTCACTCACAGTGACTGTCTTTACTTGACCTGACATGTAGTTCACCTACCGCAAAAATGCTTTTCCCCAGGGATATTTGTCAAAAACAATTAGAAGCTATCATTTAAGTTTTTGACTGCCTGATACGGTGGGTAACAGTGGGGAAAACAATAGGCTAACCAAAAACCTTAAGAGGAAAAGCTGGGGAATGACATGTCCACAGGAGCTCTGAATCATTCTGACACATTTCTGGGAAAACAGAAGGCCACACTCATGCATAGGGTTGTGTGCATGCCTAGGACTGTGTGTATTCTCAGTAAGGACTAAGAGGACTTAAGTTCTCATCTTTGGCTAAAACTGAGGTTCTTCACAGCATAAAGTGAATAAGGTAGGGTTGTCAACTGCCTGGCTAAAAATTAAAGGTACACCACTACATCCACAAAGGGATCCTCAGGAAAGACTAGGAAACTGATTGGCTCAAAATGTCTAATAAAATCTCTGTCTAATCATTAGCCTAACTAAACTATTTAATAATTGAGCAGATATTTCAGCGGCTACACATGATAAAGAATACATAATTCATTCAGCAAAGTCACTAAACAAACAATATGAGCAAACAGCAATAACATAATACTCTGAAAAGGAGGAAAAATCTTATTTCCAGAGTTACTATATTACTTTTTTTTTTTTTTTTTTTTTAGAGATGGGGAATCACAAATCACTCTGTCACCCATGCTGGAATGCAATGGCATGATCAGTTGATCATAGTTCACTGCAGCCTCTAACTCCTGGGTTCAAGCAATCCTCCTGCACCTCAGGTGCTCAAGTAGCTGGGACAACAGTCACCTGCCACCATACCTGGCTAATTTTTTAAATTTTTTTTGTAGAGAGAGGGATTCACTATGTTGTTCAGGCTAGTCCCAAACTTCTGACCTCAAGCAATCCTCCTGCCTCAGTCTCCCAAAGCACTGGGACTACAGGCATGAGCCACTGAACCAAGCCTTACATTTCTTTAAATGTCAAGTTTTCAACTACAGATATGAGACAATGCAGAAAACCAAGAAAGAATGGCCATATGCACTTTTAAAAAGTAACCATTTGAAACTGCCCCCAAGGAAAACCAAATGTTGGACGTACTGGACAAAGACTTTAAATTAGCTATTTTACATATGATCAAAGAAAACCATGTCAAATGTACTAAAGAAAATATGAGACAATGTCTCTTGAAAGAGAGAATATCAATAAAGAGACAGAAATTATTAAAAAGTACCAAAAAAATAAATAAAAGTACCATAACTTAAATGAAAAATTCACTAGAAGGAATCAACAGAAGATTAAGCAGGCAGAAGAATAAGCAAATGTGAAGACAGCTCAATTTTAGATTATCTATTCTGAGAAACAGAAAAAGAAAAAAGCAAATGAGAGAGATAAATGATCCAGAGACCTGTAGGAAACCATTAAGCATATCAACACATGCATAATGAGAGTCGCAGGAAGAGGGGAGAGAAAGGGTCAGAAAGAATATTTAAAGAAATAATGGTAAATACTTACCAAATATGATGAAAAACATGAATCTACATGTCCAAGAAGCTCGCTGAAACTCCAATTAAGATAAACTCAAAAAGATCCATATCCAGATACATCATAATCAAATGAACAAACTCCATAAACAGAAAATATTGAAAGCAGTAAGATAGAAGCAACTCATCACATAAAAGTATCTCAATTAAGAGCTGATTTCTCATCAGAAGCCATAATGAAGTAGAAAGTCTAAATAGACCTAAGAACAAGTAGTGCTTTAAATCAGTAATCAAAATACTTCCCACAAAGAAAAGTCCAGCACCAGATGGATTGACCGGGAAACTTTATCAAACAAAGTGGAATTAACAACAATCCTTCACAAACTCTTCCAAAAACAGAAGAGAAGGAAACACATACCAACTTATTCTGTGAAGCTAGATTTACCCAAAAACCAAAATCAGACAAAGACATCACAAGAAAATTACAGACCAATATTGCCAATACGAGCAACCAAATCCAGCAACATAAAAAAGGATTATGCATGATAATCAGCTGAGATTTATCCAAGGAATGCAAGGGTAGTTTAAAATATGAAAATCAATGTAATGCATCATATTAATAGAATAAAAGACAAAAACACATGATCATCTACATAAATGTGGAAAAAGCATTTAACAAAACCTAACCTTTCTCCCAATAAAAGCACTCAAGAAACTAGGAACAGAAAGGAAAATCCTCAACCTGATAAAGGGTATCTACAAAAAATAAATAAATAACTAACTAAATAAACAAATAAATAATCACAGCTAACAACATACTTAATGGTGAAAATTGGCATCAGTTTTATACAACATCAATATGAAAGTATCAACTGTATTTCTAAACACTAGCAATGAACAATCTAAAAACAAAGTAAATAAAACCATTCCATTTACAATAGCATCAAAAATAAATAAAGTATTTAGGAATAAATCTAAAAAAAGAAATGTAAGTCTTGTACACTGAAAACTACAAAATGTCATTGAAAAAAATTAAAGAAGACCTAAACAAATGGAAAGATTCTCCAAGTTCATGGACTGGAAGAAATAATATTGTTACAGTGCTAATACTCCTGAAATTGATCTATAGATTCAATCCAATCCAAGTTAAAATCCCAATGGATTTTCTGCAGAAATTGACAAACTGATTCTAGAATTAATGTGGAATTGCAAGGAATCCAGAGTATCCAAAACAATCTCAAAAAGAACAATTTGAAAGACTCACACTTACTGATTAAAACGTACTATAAAGCTACAATAATTAAGAAAACAACATAATGGCATAATGATAGACATATAACTCAGTGGAACAGAATTTAGAGTCCAGAAATAAACCCATACATCTGTGGCCAGTTGCTTTTAAATAAGGGTGCCAAAACAATTCAATAGAGAAAGAATAGTCTCTTTTACACCATTTGTGCTAAAACAACTGTATATCTGTAAGCTAAAGAATGAGTATGGCCTCTTCTTGCACCATATGCAAAAAATTAAATCAAAATGGATCAAAGGCCTAAATGTAAGAGCAAAAATTATGAAACTCTTGTAGGAAAACATAGTGGTAAAACATTGAGACCACTGATTAGGCAATAATTTCTCAGATATGACACCTGAAGCACCAGTACCAAATTTAAAACAGAAATTAGAAGTTTAAAACGTGTGTTTCAAAGGACACATTAAGAAAGTGAAAATACAATCCAAAGAACAGGAAAAGATATTTGTAAATCATATATCTGATAAGTGTCTAGTACTTAGAATATATAAAGAACTCTACAATTCAACAAAAAAGGCAAACAATCCAATTTAAAAATGGGCAAAGGACTTCAATAGGCATTTCTGTAAAATACATATCCACGTGGCCACAAAACACATGAAAAAAGCATATCATTGGTCATTAAGGAAATACAAATCCAAGCCACAATGAGCTAACACTTCATGCACACAGTAGCATGGCTATAATCAAAATCTACAACTAAAGGACACAGGGAGCACTAAAGGGAGGGAAGGGCATGCCCTTAACCCGCATTTGGGTGAGGCAAAGACATAAAGTGTAACTATAATGTTTGCACCCTCAAAAAACCCTGGAATAATAATAAAAAAAAAAGATGGACAATAACAAGTATTGGTGAAGATGCTGGAAAATTTAAACTCTCATACATTGCTGATGTGAAAGTAAAATAGCTCAGGCTTTCTGAGTTTGGCAGCTCCTCAAAATGTTAAACATAGAGTTACCATATTTCCCAGAAATTCTACTCCTAAGTATATACCCCAAGAGAAGTGAAAACATATGCTAACACACAATGGAATATCATTCAGCCATACCAGGGAATAAGTACTGAGACATTCTATAACATAGCTGAACCTCAAAAACATTATATACTAAATGAAAGAAAACAGACACAAAAGGCCATATAGTGTATGACTCCACTTACATTCAATGTCCAGGATAAACAAATCTATAGAGACAGAAGTAGATTAGTGGTTTCCAGGGCTGGAGAGTGATTGCTTAATGGGTAAGGCATTTCTTTCTGGGATGATAAAAATGTTGTGAAATTATATAATGGTGATGGTTGCCCAACCTTGTCAATATACTAAAAACGACTGAACTGTACACTTTAAAGGAGGAATTTTATGGCATGTGAATTTACCAAAATAAAAAAAAATATGCAAAAGAAAGTTGTAATTGCTATGCCTCATGTGACTACCGTAAAATCTTATGAATCCAAAATCTTTATAATTTGTAGATCTCATTTGAAAAAAGTTCTAGCATATTTGAACTATATACACTTACTATTCTAGTTAATTATTACATAATAAGCAAAAACACTTTAGGCAATTTTATATAACTTTTAGAAATAATGATTCTTTGTACACTTAAGCAGTCATAGCATACAGAATTAAACTTGGATAAATCTAGGTACATAGAAAAAACTTTAATCCATTTCCGTAGAAGGACAAGGGCCTTAGAAAACTGGGATAACTTGGGAACATTAGCCTGTTGAACAAGACTGATAAAATCTTTAAAATGCTAATAACTTTCTTAAAATTATGGAAAATCTATTTATGAATACCTGGAAAATCTGATGATCCCACTATTTTCACTGAATCTTGGGTCAAGCGAAAAGCTCTTGGTAATCGAACCAAATATCCAACTATTAAAAACAAAAAGAAATGATCACCAATTTGCCTCATTAGAAATTCCAAAATATTCAAATAGCATCATACTATAGTAGTATATTTGACTTGGTTGAAGGGGAAAGCCATAAATCAATCTCTTCTAACAGATAATTTCTCTATTCCAACTCTACTCCCCTTTACATGCTCTGATAAATGTAATCTACCTACTGCTTCTCCCTATTATATCTTACCTCTGGCTTTTTCTACATCCACTTAAATACTCTCTTCATTTTTAAAAGTTCCAATCTCCCACCATTCAAGACCCAAATCACAAATTTCTTCTCCTTCAAAGTTCCTGTTTGTCCTTATTATTTCTTACGTGCCATATGTCACTAGCACCTCTCTAATAATGCTCCTCCTACATTGTATTATATTTATGCACCTGAGTATATCATTTTCCTTATTAGATTACAGCTCCATTGATAGTGGGATCAGTGTTTACGTCCACTTAGCAAGAATCAATACCAAACACTATACCCGGTGAATAGTGAATATCAAGTAATAATTGTGAAGTATATGCTGATATTCATCAGTCACTTTTGAAGGAGTAAATGTTATGGGCATAACAGTGTGAACAGAACAAGTGCGAGGGGCAGTATAAAAATACAATAGAGCATTATATCCAAATAACTTTTAACAAAGATGGAGTAAAGTACAAAGAAAAAAATATGGTATTCGATGCCAGAAGACCTGAGTTTAAATCCTAATTCTGTCACTCACTGGTTTTAAGAAAGTTACTTTAAACTCTAGGAGCTTCAGTTTTCTCATACACAAAATGGGACTACTAATTCCAGCCTTACAGAGTTATTATAGTAACTGAATATTGCATAAACTTTAAAAGGCTATATAAATATGAAGCCTTCATTAGTCATAGCTTACATATTAAGATATTGACTGCTTATTCTATTTCTTATACACCCATAGGTCTAATGTTGTTACTGGATCAAAAGATAGCGAGGTAAAATTTTTAAATGAAAACACACACTTTCATACCTAGTACAAGACCATAAACCATGTTCAGGAAGCATCTTTCTCCTGCATGGCGATTAAAGGGTATTGGCTATTCTTGTAATCATACATGAATGATCTTTGGATTCCTGATATCTGGACTTCTACAAATCTTGTAATCTCCAATCCACTCCATTTCTCTCCTTTCTCTTCCCTATCCCACGCCAACTTCTACATTTCTTCTACATGTATATTCTTGGAGTACTTTTTTTTCATTCTCCCTTATTTGAACAATTTTTAGCATTTGAAACAAATCTCTTTCATGCTTTTTATCAATTCTGAGATTTTGTTTTTAAAAAGTCTAGAACTTGAACACAAAATAATACAGCCAAAACCATTCTAGTTAAATAGCATTTAAATTAAACTCTCATTTCCTTCTGCAGTGTTTGTTCATCAGTATCTTTAATGTATTTTGAAAACAGTATGGAAAAGCCTTTCAATTCTTTAGATGTCAAAACATTTAGATGTCCGAGCATTTGCCGCATTTTACATCTAAAACCAAAAGATGGCGCTCCGCTATCACTGATAATTTCAAAGCGGCAGGATGCTTACTCCTTTTGAAATACGAGGAAAAGAGTGCATTTACATCATTACGGAGTGCACACACTGCAATGTAAAGCTGGAAAATGATCCCTAAACTGAATTAAGAAATTTATTAACAAACCAGTTTAAAACTTAAATCGCGGGTGTTTTAGTAAACTTCTACCTATACATTATTAATTCCCCAGTCATTTGCTCTTCTATGTAAATGCAGACTGCCTTTGTACAACTTCTACACAAAATAAACCCTTCTTGTCAGGTATTAGTAGTGAGTAGAGTGTTTTTTTACATAAAAGGGGTGCACGTGACACAAGAAAAAACAATTCTCAGTGGGGGAAGGGGGACTCAAGGTTGCCTCCGCCGAGCCCGCCGGCCAGGTGGTACCAACTCTCACCTGACGGGGGCACCCGCACAAAGTAGGCGGAGAGAAAGAGGAGGGCAGCGGCCCGGGATAGCGGGGAGCCCGCGTCCCGGGCCCACCGCCAGCCCCGCCGCGCCCGGCCAGGGGCCGAGGCCTCCATCCACACTCCGCCGTCGCCTGCCGAGTGTCCGCGCAAAAGGACGTTACGCTGCTCGCGCCCACCCGCCGCCGGAAGTTGGCGGGCGGCGGACCGGAAGGACGGACCGACGGACGCCTCGGCACTTCCGCCAGGGCGGTCCGCTAGTGGAAGGTGTTTTTCTCCACGCAGCTCAAGAGAAGGTCTCTTGCTAGCTGTTGGGCCTCGGGACAACACCGTCACTCAGAGAATGCTCAAGAGCATAAGCGACCTGTCGAAGATTCCGGAGCTGGAAGAGGAACATCGGGCCCCAATGCCCGCGCCTTTATTTTCGTGCGGCGTTTGTGGACAGATGGAAGGCCCTTTTTGTAAGCCGGGTCTCAGCATTTGAGGGCCAGTCGGAACAACAGATAGAATTTATGAGTTAAGACACTTAGAACCCTCAGAGTATTGCCTGGATCTAGTAATGTCAGCAACTAGTATTGATGGATGTGTGCAACTTAATTGGGAGATAAATGCAACACACATCTAGCGGAGATTAAAGGTAAGGCCTTTAGCCTCCAAAAGAAGCATGATGGAAAAACGAAGGAAATAACCATAGATGAAATGGATTTTCTTCCAATACGCAGCCTGGAAGATCATCTCATATCACCTAAATTCAGAAAAACATAGAAAACCACCTATCAACTGTGGGAGACCAGAGAATGTCTCCCCAAAATATTAAAGACTCTTCAGCTGAAGACAAGAAGCAACAGATGCAAGAGACCTCTCTTTCCTCCCTCTTTTTGTGCAAAAGCAGGACATAGATATACAAAGACAAAAGTTATCTTCCTTCCCCCCCATGGAAAACAAGAGTTAGCCACTGAAAACAACATCAGACCCTCATCAGCCTTGAGATGATGCCAGATTAATTAATATTAACAAGCTTTACTTTTACCATTTATTTGCCTCCCCCCAAGTTGCTGCCTGTAGAGACTCAAAGTCCTTTTCATTTGTCACATTTTACTGTTCTTTGTTGAATATGTTATATAAGCTAGAATTCAAAACCACCTATTTGAGAACTACTCATTCTCTGGGTGTCTCTCATATGTAAGTGAAATATACATAATAAAATTTCTGGGTTTTTTTTTCTTGTTAATCTGTCTTTTGTAACCAGGGTCCATTCCAATTACGAACCTATGGAGGTTATTATTTTTTCCCCTACACAGCCTCAGAGAGACTTTATAAACAGAACTTGTTTATAGAAATTGAAAGAGAATCATGCCTCTACTTTTCTGCTGCTGGAAGGATTTAATCAATGGGAATAGGCCTGTGGTAGAAATAAATATTACACAGTTGATGCAAATACACTGAATGAAGTCTGAGCAACTAAAGACAGAATGCCTAATAGTAAATGAATTGTCACCTTTAATATGAAGAAATGAGTGGACTAAAAAGTATCGCTTGATACACTGTGTTCTGGATGAGGGATTTCAAACTGATACCCTAGCCACCTAATTAAGCCTTCCCACCTCTCTAAGTGTATCTCAAAATTTTAATGACTTTAGGTGGAGCATAGGTATTCTGGTTTTAACACGGATATCACCACCTCTTGCTGTTGTACAGTTGGTCTGACTTACATATTATGTGCCTGGCTCTTCAAAGATACAATCTTGCCTGTTTCGCATTTTTGCTGCGCTAAGGTGTGATGTTTTATCCCCAAATTCTAATATTTGGAATTCTTACAGTAGCAGTTTTCTTTCATGCAAGAAGAAATTATTTAGTGGAAAAGAATGTTTAAGTGACCTGGTATATTAATGATTTAAATGACATGTGTAGACTAATAACTGATATCCTATTTATTGTAGGTTTCTAAGATGAATTCACAAAATTACTCTGAATATCATGGTAACATTAAAGGATGTAAAGATAATGTAGGGCATGTAAAGGATGAACCTGTACTTTTGACTATAATTTGAAAATTATTTTCCTTAAAAATTAGATACACCAATTCAAATTTAGTGTGATAAATGTCTATATTTTGCAGTGCATTGAAACTTAATGTTTATTTAGATAGCAAGTGTTATATCTAGAGCATTAATACATAATTATAGTTACATATATACTTTTAAAAATATATTGTGTTATCACTGGATTAACTTCTTTATACTCCTTAAATATATTTTATACCCATAAAGTATCAACTTATGGAAAAATTTAAAAATAAATAAGTGAGCACAACTTTCCTAAGCATTGGGGAGAAGAGTATCATGAAAATATCACTATCAAGGCTATTTTGTTTTTCTTAAGAATTAAATTATGAAGTACATAATAAATGGTTCAATGTGTTAGAGTTCTAGCTGTTACTAAGCAACAAGGGTTCAGCTTTTTTTCTTCTTCTGTTCTGTTCTTTTACTGCCCTAGCCTTCCTTTGGTGGAGAAAAATAATTTACCTTAAAAAAGAAAAAAAATCCTACTCTACCAACATTTAGAAAGCTGAATCAATAATTTTATACTATATTAACCCTAATTTTTAGTTATTTATATTGTTAAAAGAATCATCAGACGTACTTAATTTATAGTTATCAAAAATTCTAAAGAAAAACGCCATGGATGTGGAGGTTCAGTACACACCTGGAAAGATAAGTATCTCTAAAAGGTCCATCCTTTCAGGAACAAAGGCTGTTGAGAATATAGACTACCCACACTACTGTGACCTCTTAAGAAAAATGAATATGCCTTTTGTGAAAGGATTTGAGGACAGACATGACTATGGCAGATTTGAAAAGAAATGCAACCCTTCTTTTCTTAAATTTCACCCTTACCCCCCTTCCATCCTGCCAGACTATCATTTACATTATCCTTATCCCCCACCATATGGGCCAGATTACCCATTATTTCCACTTAGGGATGATGTGCCTTTAGGTGATCCCTGTTCAGGGTTTATGAGTCCTGGTGGTGATGCTGATTTAAAGCCTGGCATTGGCAGAACCATACCAAACTTGGTGAGTTACAGTGATGTGAAACCTCAACATCGAGTTCCGAGATCAGGCACAGGTTTTCAAACAACAATAAAAAGGCAAACAATTCTATCAGAAGAACTGCAACAGGACAGGAGATGGAATTCTAGGGAAGTACCAGATATTTCCGTCAGAGCAAGACTCGGAGGTAAATAAAGTGACATTCACTTTATATTTTTTAAATACTCAAACAAGGGAGGAGAGTATGGATATAAGATTCAGTATGTTTGTGGTTAAATTAACATAAAATTATAAAGAACTGAATAAGATTTTATTATTCTTAAATTACAGATTGTAAGAAAAAAGTAGTAAGAATGACAAACCATTTATAAACTTATATATAAAACAAAATTCTTTTTTAAGAAAAGACATTGATTAGTTTAAGTGACCAACACAGAATGTATAACATTATTTATTGCAGATATATGGATAAATTTATTTTACTAACAGGGAATTTATGTATCACTTTGGTAATTGTATAGTGAGCCTCCGTATCTGTTTCTTTCCCTCAAAAAAAATAGTTTGCTGATGGTTATGAAAGAGTTAGGTTACAGGGGCTGAAATAAAAGGGGTAAGTAATGGAAAGTAAATATTTTGGGTCCAGAAAGTACAGGAGCTGAAGAGCAGCAAACTCTGCATAAATAACTCCATAGCCCTGGAGGCAGGATTGATCACCCCTTAACTGACATCAGTAGCAGGTGGTTTCTCTGTAAGAACTCCCCTAGATGGTCACAGGCCTGGCCCAGAAGTTATGAGCAACACCTCCAAACGAAAGCCACTGGGACTATTTCCTGTATGGAAGTTGTCTAGCAGGCAGGGAGTGAAATGAGGTTAGCATCTTTGAACTTGTGAAAAGGAAAAGGACAAATGCTGTGGCAGGAGGTGTTAGGCTTGCTCTAGTCTCAGAGGTTGCACCACCTTACACAGGTCCTCTTCAGCACCCAGCCACAGACCAGAGGACTAAGGAAAAAATGTGTGGTGGAACAGTGAGGCCACCATATGTTGGGGCAGTGGGGATTCATGGTTTCTGCCACTCTTCCACGGAGAAAGAAGGTTAGGAAGAGGGTAAAAGTAAAGGAAAATGTAATAAAAATGAAAAAACCCACAATATAACTCTTCTCTGCCCCTCGCTCCACATATCCATTATTGAGCCAGAAGGAGGAATTTGGAAAGATGTAAGGAGAGGATGCATTTTGCTTTTAATTTGCAGTCCAGTTATAGCCTTACCAAGTTGGTTTAGGGAAATTCTGAGTTTATTATGGAATTTTCATGTAAAGGGTATGCGTGAGATTCAACAACCTATCTTGACAATAAATTATTTTATAATCCATTGGAAATACGATCTAGGAAATGTGGTATTACTGAGAATCAAATCCACTTGTATCTACAAGTGACAGATACTATCTTACATGCTAAAAATGTTGCCAATTAGGAAACCACTGTTGAGTCTAGGTCCTTCCCACAGACACAGTACATTTAACTGATTCTGAACTAGTGACTATTTTTCTAGTCTGTCCAGAAAGTAGCTTAAGTTCAACCTTCACTAATATTTCAACATATAATAGCATTCATTATCAAGAATGTTTCCTTAAAGGAACTGAAGTTATTCTTCCCATTTTAAGCAAGGATACCACATATTTTGTAAACAGAAAACCCCAGTCTAGTATAATCTTTAAGAGAACATTGTTGGTTTATTCTTGTAAGTTCTTTTAACAGAGGACTCTTAAAACATTATTCCAAGAAATTATAGGTTGAAGAATGATTTATCTTAGTAAAGCTAACAGGATTAAAATAGTGTTAATGGACTTTGGACCAACAATTTGTAAGCAAGTTTAGAGTCATCCTGTGTATTTCAATGCCTGAATCGGTACAACAGAAGAATTCAGAGGATAATCAGACTCCCTGGGCTCGAATCCTGGCAAAACCTTACTTGCTATATGACCCAGGGCTAGTTACTATTCTCATCATGCCTGTATATCCTCATTTATAAAATTCATATAATAGTAATACTTTATAACATAATAGTAAGGGCCATTTGACGTAAAAATCCCTGACATACAGAAAGGAACTAATAAATGTCAGATTGTATAAAGTCCAGAATTTTCAGTTCCTTCACCATAAATGGGAAATAATAGCACTTCTCTTATACAGTTGTAAGAGTTAAATGAACTAAGACATGTAAAGTGCTTAGCAAAATCCCCTTAAACCCAATAAAACATTCAATTAATAGTGGCTGTTATTATTAGCCATTAACTGTTTCAAAGAGTAATACCTGCAGTGTGGGGAGTGAGTTCAATATAATTTCTTTTGGCTTTTCAATGACTTTGTAGATCCTGGGAATAATCATTAATTATAAATGATAAGTACTTTCAGGTTTTAGAAAATCTAAATATATGAATACATTATTTCTAATACATGTTTTGATAAAGAAGGGCATCTCAGAATTAATTACATCACAAACCAGCACTCTTTTCAGTGGACTTTCACAAATATCATAGCAAGATTATAAAAGATTATATTTCTGATGTATTCTTGCCCCATTCCAACCTTGTCTAGATCTTTAACTGGGTCTGATACTTCCTTTGTTGGTCCAACTGGCTCTCTCTATCATCTCCCAATCAACTATTCTAAACTTATACTAATTATATTCAAACCTTTTACTGGATTCTGACATTTATTGAAGCAGATGATCCAGTCTTCCTTATCACAGAGAATATACAGTTTGTCTATTTATACCACCTTGATCTTTCTCTCATTTGGCCTCCTGATATCAATATTTATTACTCTTTGTGTGTCTTACTGTTTTTTAACCATTGTTTTAGCTCAGGCTAGTATAACAAAATACCAAATACTGGGTAGCTGAAGCAACAGCCATTTATTTCTCACAGTTCTAGAGGCTGGGAAATCAAAGATCAAGGAATCAGCAGATTTGGTTCCTGGTGAGGGACTTCTTCCTGGTTTATAGAAGGCTGCCTTCTCCCTGTGTCCTCATATGGCAGAGAGAGAGACGGAGAGAGAGACACAGAGACAGAGAGAAAACACACTCTAGTCTCTCTTCTTCTTAAAAGGACACTAATCCCATCACTGGGGTCTTACCCTCTTGACCTCACCTAAGCCTAATTACCTCCCAAAGATCTCACCTCCAAGTAACATCACATTGGGGGTTAGGGCTTCACCATATGAAGGGAGACAAACATTCACTCTGTAACAACCATCCTAATCATTTTTTAAGCGTATAGTTTATTGGTATTAAGTACATTCACATTGTGCAACCATTACCAGTATTCACCTCCAGGACTCACTTCATTTCTCAATACTGATACTACTCATTAAACAACAATTCCTATTTCCCTCTTTTCCATGGCCCCTGGATGCCACCATTATATTTTTTGTATCTATAAATTTGACTACTTTAGGTTCATCATGTAAGTGAAAGCATACAGTATTTGCCTTTTGTGATTGGCTTGTTTTACTTAGCATAATGTCCCTCAAGTTTCATCCATGTTGTAGTGTATTTCAAAAATTCATTCTTTTTCAAGGCTGAATAATATTTCATTTTGTGTATATGCCACATTTTGTTTATCAATTCACCCATTGATGGACACTTGGGAAGCTTCACCTTTTGGCTATAATGAATAAAACTGCTATGAACATGGCTTACAACTTTCTCCTTGATACCATAAGTTCAGTTTGGGAGGATATATAACCCAATAGTAGAAATGCTTGATCACATGGTCATTTTATTTTTAAATGTTTAGGAACTGCCATACTGTTTACTATAGGGCTACATCATTTTATATTCCCACCAAGAGTACATAATTCCAATTCCTTGCATTCATGGGGTAAATCTGACTTGATCATGGTATATAATCCTTTTAAGGTGCTCTTAAATTCTGTGTGCTAGTATTTTGTTCAGGATTTTGCATCAAGAATCAAGAATATTTTCCATCCTCATCAATTTTTTTAAGTGTGAGTAAAATTGGTCTTGAAATTCCTTAAATGTTTGGTAGAATTCACCAATGAAGCCATCTGGTCCTAGGCTTTTCCTTGGTGGAAGGTTTTTGGTTACTACTTCAATCTTCTTTTTTAGTTATAGGTATGTTCATAGTTTCTATTTCTTCATGACTCAGTTTTGGTAGGTTGTGAATTTCTAGAAATTTGTCTTATTCATCTATATTATTCAATTTGTTGGTGTAAAATTGTTCATTGTACACTCCTATAATCCTTTTTATTTCTGTAAAATTAGAAAACCTTCATTTCTTGTTTTATTTGGCCTTCTCTATTTTTTTCTTAGTCAATTTAAATGTTTATCAATTTTGCTGAATTTTTTGAAGAACCAACTCTTGCTTTCATTGATTTTCTCTTTTTATTTTCCATTTTCAATTTTGTTTATATATGCTCTAATCTTTGTTATTTTCTTCTTTCTGCTGAATCTGGGATTAATTTTTTCTATTTCTTGTTCCTTGAGGTGTAAAGTTAGGTTATTTATTTGAAATCTTTCTTCTTTTTTAATGTAGGTGTTTATTACTATTAATTTCCCTCTAAGGTTCTGCTTTTGCTGTATATAATAAGTTTTGGTACCTTGTGTTTTCATTTTTGTTTGTCTCAAGGTATTTTCTGATCTCCTTTTTTTATTTCTTCTTGGATCCAAAGAAGGCTTTTGTTTAATAGTGTATTGTGTAATTTCCTCATACTTAATAAGTTTTCCATTTTCCTTCTGCTATTGTTTTCTAGCTTTATTCCATTGTGGTCAGAAATGACACTTGGCACGATTTCTGTCATATTAATTGTTTTATGAGTTGTTTTGTGTCCTAACATGTAATCTATCCTCAAGAATGATCTGTGTGTCCTTGATAAGAATGTGTATTCTGCTGCTGTTGGGTGGAATGTTCTGTATTTGTTAGGTCCATTTGGTCTATGTTTTATTTAAGTCCTCTATTTCCTTATTGATCTTCTGTCTGGATGTTCTATCCATTATTGAAAGTGAGGTATTGAAATCTCCTACTGTTATTGTATTGCTGTCTATATTTCTCTTCAATTCTGATTCTCTTGACCTGTTGAGTATCTTTATGACAGTTATTTTGAATTTTCTGTCAGGTAGATCATGTGACTCAATTTTGTTAGGGTCAGTTTCTGAAGATTTATGTT